GCTGTGTCTCTCTCTCTCTCTGTCAAATAAATAAAATCTTTAAAAAAAAAAAAAAAAAAGATTTTTTTTTTCTCCTGCTTTATCGAGATACAATGAACATATAACATCGTGTAAGTTTAAGGTGTGCAATGTGAAAGACAAGAATTTACTTATGAAATTTATATGCATGAAATCACCACTTGGAAGACCAGGTACCACAATTGCTCTCTAAATCCTAAGGTTCTCTATATGGGAGAAGCCAGTCTGATGACTTAAAAATGACAGAGCTGAGAAGAAAATCTGAGGTATTCTATATAAAAATAAGTATTACCTTTTAAACATTTGAGAGTTTCTGTGCTGCACACATCCACCCTCATGGTTGACAGCTGTTTTTCCTTCAATTCTATCTGATCTTCTGAGCGCTTGTACAGCAACAGTTCTTCAATGAGGGCCTGGGACTGAATACAGACCAGAGTCGTATTTTATTTATGAAAACATTCACTTATTCTACCTTCCCCCATTAACATAAAACATGTCTAAAATCTAATAAAACCAAGAGAAAGAAACCCTTTGCATTTCCTCATAATTGGGGATAGCACTATCAATTTTCATGCCCAAACCGTATTTTTAGTTACATACTTTAAAATATCCTTTCCTTAGTTATTCAAGGCTAACTGAACATATAAGATTAAGACTAAGACAAAGGTCCACTTAGTCTTTAAATTTTAATTAGGTAAATATAGTCTTATTATGTTAACTCTAAGCAAATTCTAATTTAGTAGAGCTTCACAGAAGGATGAACCCATTGTTGGGGGGAGTTCAATACAGAACTTGGCTGGTAATAGATATTCTGGAAGAAGGTTAATTCTTCCATTGGGGGAACATATAAAACTCCAAGTAATCTGATCCCAATCTGGATTCTTTCAGAACAGTTTAAACTTGTTTAAAATATAATTTATGTACAACTGAATAAAAATAAATCTTACTGGACTATACGGGGAACTGTAACAAAAGGGGTGAATAAAGCTTTAGCATATTAAACGTATTCTAATAACTTACTCGAAATTCTGCAACTATCTTAGACTTGAGAGCAGCTTTTGGATTCGTGGATGCTGTTGAATTAAACAAAAGGTCATTAAGAATACAGACACAAAAGTCACCTAATATTCAGGTAATTTTTCAGCTTTATAGTTAAGGGTGTACACTTTGAACATATGTCAAATATACACATTTAAATAATAATATAACTCCTAGAATAAATATTCCTAGAATATGAAATTTAAACACTCCCAAGTGTGGCCAGTATAAAAATATACTATTTAGATAGGTCTAACCTACTTACCTCCAACAGACACTTTAAGTCATAAAGTCCTAGAATTATTGATTTGGAGATACTGAGATACATGGAGTACCTTTTTTCCCAGTCTGACTGAATTTAAGAAGATCTCAATACCTCAAATTAAGAAAGAGTGTTCAGGAGCACGACATCCAGTTAATCCTGAGCACTGGCTGAAGAAAATTACTTACAAACATCAACTCTATTCCTATGATTTAGCTTTGGATTTCTTTTTCTGCTGACTCAATTCACAGCAAAAACAGGCAGGGAACGTTCTAAGTACATTACCACTGTGGTTCAACTTTGGCTGAAATGTTGACTCTTGCTGTTCCTAAGCATGCAACTTATGACCAAAAGGATGTCAGAGGACTCCCTTAATCATGATGAATTATCATATGCTTGATGTAGTAAAACCATCCCAAGTGTCTTGTTTTACCTCTCAATTCTGTCTTCTACCTTGTTCCCTCCACACCTTCAAGTTTTTCTCAATATTCCTCAGTTTGGCCCACAGCAGCCTATCACATGCAGTATTCCACTCCCTTGATCTCATGCTGGGTAAACATGTTAAACATAAAAGGAGCTCCTGTTAGAGACTGAGCTTCTGGCCAGGATTTGAGGCCCATGTCTAATCTGGTAGAGTGTATCCCCAAATCTGAAGGATTTCATGGCTCCCAAAGAAATGCTTCTTAATGCCTAGTCTCCTCTTCAGCTCTGTTGTTTAATGTCAGCTGCCTCTAACTTCTTCTATCTTTCAACCTAAGAGTTAGCCTGGGCACTATCAAGCATTTTTTTTCTTCTTTCACTCCCCCAACTACTCTTGAATCTTCACTCATTTAAACCCTTTTTCTGCATTTCCTTTGTTTAAAAGTAGGGTTTTTGTTTTTGTTTTTTTTTTTTAAAGAAGTAACTCCATGATGGCTTGTTTAGTATAAATCACTGGGTCACTCTCCCAGACCTGGAAAACACAGGCTTCCCCATGGTTTATGCCAGGTACGATGTCAAATGGTCTACATTTTCTTCTGCTCCAAAAAGAGGAGGTAATTTTATATTAGTTGAGATTTTGTTCCTTACTTTGTGATTTCTTCCACTGCTTATTCGGTTGTTTGTTCAGATTTTCTTTCAGCTGCTTCTGAGTTTTGAAAGTGGTACCTGGAAAACATTTCAGTTTTTGCAATCTGGCATTATGGGAAGCTGTTCTGTCTGTCCACTTCAGTGTCAAAGTTGTAGCATTGAAAAAAGGCAATCCGAGACTGTGTCTTGTTTCTTTCTTTCTTTTCCTTTCGTTTTTATAAAAAAATAAAAACACCCACCAGATCTAAGAAGCTGTCAAATAAACATGATTTCTATTATAATAAAATTACTGATTTTAAGAAGAATAGGGCACAAAATACCAGTTAATGCATTCAAATGAAGAATTTAACAGCTTCTTAGAAGATGCGATTTTTAAAGCAAATTTCTAGTCAAATAATGGTCATGGTATCAGATATCACCACCAACTTTTATTTAATGACTCCATTACATGCATCTAATACACAGGAAATAAGTAACTTTTTAAAAACAGGTACACAAGTTACTGCAAATCTAAACCAAAACAAAGACTAAAGAATGCCAATATATGCTTAATATAAAATAATTTAGTGGAAACTGAAACCCCATTAAAAAATTCTCCAACAGTAAGAGGACAGGGCAGTAATTATTAAACATACAAAAAAAATGAATAGTTTAAAACATTCAAAGTAAAACATGCAGGAAAATAATCAGATAGCCATCATCACTTAATATGCTTGACTTTTTCTAATAAATACAAACAAAAGCCAACCCTCTCCAAACCAATTCTATTTAAATTTTAATTCAAACAGATTTTTTAAATATTTAATTTTAAATAAATAGGACCCAATCCAGAACTTTATTTTTCATTATTAAGCAACAGGACCAGATCTATAAAATATCTATAATTTTAAAGAGTCAAGGACTCAATTTTTTCTTTTAGGAGAGAAAATACACTTACTCAAAGCTTCTCTCAATGCCATAATCATTTCTTCTGGGTACACATTTCTATCTTCCCAGATTTTGAAGATTCGTTCTATAGACTTAGAGACAGATGGATCCCTGAGGATAAAGAAAAAGTGACACAGACATATAAAAATGTTAATTTTATCTCAAACTAGAATCTAAAATAAAGTTGTCAACAAAATTATTTTCCAAGTGTCTTTTGATGTTCAAGACATTTTTTTTCTACAGTGTCTAGTAGGACTAAAATCTTAGTAACTCTTAAAAAAAATTTTTTTTTTTAAAGATTTTACTTATTTGACAGAAAGCAGGACAGAGAGTGAGAGAAAGCACAGGCAGGGGGAGCAGCAGAGGGAGAGGGAGAAGCAGGCTCCCCACTGAGCAGGGCGCCCAATGCAGGGCTCAATCCCAGGACCCCGGGATTCATGACCTGAGCCAAAGGCAGACGCTTAACTGACTGAGCCATCCATGCACCCCTTTAAAATTTTTTATTGAAATTTTTTGAAATTGAAATACATTTGACACACTTTATTATTTTAATTGAAGTATAGTTAACACATTAAAATCTTAAATATTCTGAGATGCTTGGGTGGCTCAGTCAGTTAAGCATCTGACTCTCGGTTTCAGCTCAGGTCATGATCTCAGGGTTGTGAGATGGAGCTGTGTGTTGGGATTAGCATGGAGTCTGCCTGAGATTCTCTCCCTCTGCCCCTCCCCAGCTTGCACACACATGCGAACAAATGCGTTCTCTCTCAAGTAATATAAATAAAATCTTTAAAATCTTAAAACATTCTTAATGAATACTTTTTATCAATGACGTATATGAGGCTACGACAGCACACTGAGGTTTCTGATGCATATAATATTATGAGGGTTAGTCAAATGTGTTCATTGATACAACTGGCATCCTAAAAGGTAAAGTAAGGGAAGTTTAATAAAATTAAATCTTTTTTTTTAAGATTTTACTCATTTGAGAGAGACAGAGAGAGCGTGCTGAAGAGAGAGCACGAACTGAGGGGAGGGACAGAGGGAGAAGGAGAGGCAGACTTCCCCCTGAGCAGGGAGCCCAACCCAGGGCTCAATCCCAGGATTTTTTCTTTTTCTTTTTTAAAAGATTTTCTTTATTTATTTGACAGAGAGAAACACAGCGAGAGAGGGAACACAAGCAGAGGGAGTGGGAGAGGGAGAAGCAGGCCTCCTGCTGAGCAGGAGCCCGATGCGGGGCTTGATCCCAGGACCTTGGGATCATGACCTGAGCCGAAGGCAGACGCTTAATGACTAAGCCATCCAGGTGCCCCAGGATTTTAATTTTTCTAAATTGAAGTACAGTTGACATACTTTATTATTATTTTTAATTGAAATATAGTCAACACATTAAAAATCTCCTTAAATGTTTCAGAAATTTACAGTTGGTTTGTTTGGAATGGGATCCAAAGAAGGTCAATACATTGCATTTGGTTATGCCTCTTAAATCTCTTAATCTAGAGCAATCAGATTAAATTGTTCTCAGTATTTTTCTCATTCCATTCACTGATATTGCAGTCCAGGGGTTGGCTGTCCAGCAGAACATTCCACATTCTCTAGCTTTACTTATTTGCTGCCATTTTAACTTGTTCCATTAATGCCTGAATTTCCTCTAGACGAAAATTAGTCGGATTATATACATATTCACAAATTTTGGGGAGCAAATATTGAATAAACGATACTATATACTTCATACTGCATCCCATCAGGACATACACAATCTCTGGATATCCCATCTTTAATAACACTAAGCCTGATCAATGGAATAAAGCAGTACTTTCTCTTGTGAACTGTGCCTATCTACTCACTAGCATTTTAGTGTTTATCTAAGGAGTAAATAATTATATATATATATAGGTTTTCCAACATTACAAATCTTTCCCCACTTTGCACTTTAAGTTACATTTTAAAACATATAATTTTAAAATGTAGACTTGTTAAAATACAATTGCTCTCTACTGCCACTTTTTAAGTATAGGAAGCCTACCAGAGATTTAAAAAATTATAACTTATTTTCTTTGCTCTCTCTTTTAATGATTAACATTAAAAAAAATTCAGCTGCGTAATTCATTTAAAATCTACTGGGTATAGGGGCACCTGGGTGGCTCAGTTGGTTAAACATCTGCCTTCAGCTCAGGCCATGATCCCAGAGTCCTGGGATCGAGCCCCGCATCGGGCTCCCTGCTCCGCGGGAAGCCTGCTTCTCCCTCTCCCACTCCCCCTGCTTATGTTCCCTCTCTGGCTGTCTTTCTCTCTGTCAAATAAATAAAATCTTTAAAAAATAAAATAAAATAAAATAAAATCTACTGGGTATAGAATGTAAAATCAAGCTCTAATCTGAACAGATTTCCTATTAATTGTTCCAATATTATAACTTCTCTTTTCCTCACTGATTTACTGCTTCCACTAGCATGTATTCAATTATTAATCTTTTTCTATGCTGCAAATTCTGTTAATCCATTTTTACATTATACAGTTGACCCTTGAAAAATGTAGGGGGTGGTTAGGGACGCCAACCCCAATCCCCCGCAGTTGAAAATCCATGCATAACTTCTGGCTCCCCAAAAACTTACCTACTAATAGCCTACTGTTGACTTACCAATAACATAAACAGTTGATGAACATGTATTTTGTATATGTATTATATACTGTATTCTTATAATAAAGCTAGAAAAAATATTATAATCATAATGAAAATACATTTACAGTACTGTACTAATTGAAAAAAAATTCAGGTATAAGTGGACTCAAGCAGTTCAAACCCATGTTGTTCAAGGGTCAACTGTACTATCTTCAAAACTGTAGCTTATCTTCCCTCATTACAACTGCATTTCAAAACATTTCTTATATTCTCACTTGCTTATTTTTCCAGAGTAAATTTAATGTTAAGTTCCAAAAGAGGAAATTTTGGTATTTTTAATTTGAATTATATTAGGCTGATATATTAATTTGGAGAAAGTATTACATATAACATTGATATATGGTATCGATACATTATTCTTCACTACAGCAAAACATTAATATTTATGAATTTATATTCAACATTCCCAAATACAATTTATTCACAAAGTTCAACATAATTCCTGTTAAGGCTATTCCTAGATATTTCATATATTTTATTGCCAGTATGACTCACCATCCCTCCTTATCACTAACTTCTCACATTAAAACTGATTCAGAAGTTTGTTGGTCGTAACTTACCTCAGCTTTAACTTTAAATGGTTTGAATTTTTTTTAAGATTTTACTTATTTGTCAGAGAGAGAGAGAGAGAGAGAACAAGCAGGGGAGCAGCAGAGGGAGAGGGAGAAGCAGGCTCCCTGCTGAGCAGGGAGCCCGATGCGGGGCTTGATCCCAGGACCTTGGGATCATGACCTGAGCC